TAGTTTTTCCTGAGGAGGTTAGGTTCATTTGTGCTTTCCAGACTTACTTTATGATTTTAATCTCTTCTGAATTTAATAGTGTTTTCCTCATATAACCTTGGTAAAAATGATGGAGCAAATTTTCTACCTTTTTTTTTTTATCTAACCCAGGGGAATAATTAAGAAATCTACTTTCGTATAGATAGGGATATTTATAACAGGATGTTTGGCAACCACAAAGTTACCAAATTGTCTTTATTCTACACAAAATATTTATTATTCTATTGTCCTATATTTCTTCAAAATAAATGTGTAATGTAAAGACACTAATGCATCTTTAAGTGTGGTTTAAGTGTCAAAATTCTTTCTGGGGCCACCGTTTATACTCTGCTTGCAATATTAGACGGCATAACCAATCCTGTTACCTAAAGCTAGTACACAAAAGGGAAATATGGATACACAATCTTCTCAGTGTTTGTAATGAGCACACATTTAAACACACAAACACTCTTATGCTCTGAGCATGTATTAAAAACAGGCCCTAAGTTGAATTTCAGTAATGGTAAATATTACACACTTTGTAAGTAATTTATGAACCGTTAAATATGCCATGCAAAAAATTTAGTGTAGTTTATTTCCAGTTTACATTACTTGAATAGATTCTAATCTCTGTAAATAATTGATCAATAAATAAATTAAAAGAAAATTTCCTCTATAAAAGAGTTTGAGATTGTTAGAATACAAACCCAAAAAGCTGTTTATGTACTTGAGAGAACTTGTTCTTATCATTTGTAAAGACAACAAAGCCACAAAAATCACATTTATTCACTGATTTTGAACTAGATTTGTGCAAACACATCAGCTTGTAATCAAACACTTGAGATGGGAAAAAAACGAGGTAATAAAATGAGGGACGAACAGTGAATAGCAAAAAAAGATAAAGAAAAACAGCAGCAGCGGCCAATTTAAAAGCAGACCTCAGGGTGTTTGTTTACTCATGGGTCTGAGTCCTAATTAGACTCGTGCCTCCTTCAGAACTCATTCAAACTGATGGCCAAAGAAAAAAAAATGAGAGAGAGTGTGAGAGTGAGAGTGAGAGAGAGAGAGATAGAGAGAATGAAGTAAATAAATGAGTCCCAAAGAAATATGGATCGTCAGCACACTCCACTCGAGTCCAATTAAACATTTAGCCCTGGCTATATACATATAAATAAAATGTCTAAATCACCATGAGCACAGGATGTTGAATTAGGAAGAACCTTTTTCCCACAATCCTTGTGTTGTCATATCCAACTCCACAGGTGGAAATCCATTTGCTATCAATCCGGTCAAATGGTATATATATCAACTTCAACTATATCAACTCGTCCAAAATTTGTATTTAAAGGAATAGTTCACCCAAAAATGAAAATTTTGTCATCAATTACTCACCCTCATGTTGTTTCAAACTTGTTTAAGTGTCTTTATATTGTTGAACACAAAAGATGATATTTTGAAGGCTGCTGATAATCAAACAGTTGTTGGTCCCCATTGACTTCCATTGTATTTCTTTCCCTTCAATTGAAGTTAATGGGGACCAACAACTGTTTGGTTTTTCAAAATGCTTCAAAATATCTTCTTTTGGAACAACCTCAGGATGAGTACATTTGGACAGAATTTTCATTTGTGGGTGAACTATCCCTTTAAGGTGCTACATGTCCTTTGGTATTTGTGCATTTCCTTCCTAAAATGTACTTTTTGATCTGCTACTTACACATAATTGAGACCATAAAATGCTTGCTTTCACCCAGCTGAAAATCATGAAATATTTTTTCATTCTTTTGTCATCCCTGAGAATTCACCGGAAACCTGATATAAAAAGCGGGGACTGTTTATAACTTCTGGTGATTAAATGGACATGTCAACAATGCCATTAAATATTTTCATTTGTGGGTGAACTATCCCTTTAAGGTGCTACATGTACTTTGGTATTTGTGCATTTCCTTCCTAAAATGTACTTTTTGATCTGCTACTTACACATCATTGAGACCATAAAATGCTTGCTTTCACCCAGCTGAAAATCATGAAATATTTTTTCATTCTTTTGTCATCCCTGAGAATTCACCGGAAACCTGATATAAAAAGCGGGGACTGTTTATAACTTCTGGTGATTAAATGGACATGTCAACAATGCCATTAAATAACGATAAAGGGACTGTGTCTCTACCCGACCATTAAAACATCCTATTTCACAAACACTTGTGTAAAAAGGTATTTACCCAGTATTTCCTGTGAAGGTGGAATGATGAGAGTAGTGTCGTCTGTCGTCATGCCACCACCCGCCTCAATTTTCCGGAGTCGGTCCCTCAAGCGTTGACACTCGACCCTCAGCTGTTCCACCTCTTCAGTGCACTGCTGCTTTGCGATGCTAGTGGGGTTCATTTGCAGGTGGATCACCTTTGTCGTGACAGGATCATAGCCTCCCTAATACATGGAGAAGTTAAGAGTCCAAAAAAAAAAAAAAGTATAAATTTCATTAAAATAAGGAATGAGTTTGCGAGTATAAAAACATTTTTAAAGTCTTTTGATGTGATTCTTCCAAAGAAGAAAAGAGTGCAGACAATATGCCTAAACGCAAAGATATTACCATTTATTTTAATTGTTTTGGCATGTGAAACCATTGTAATTGTTGACTGATGTAGACTTTGATCAATGAAATCAACACTGAAAAATAAATAAAATAGGAAAATGAAACTGAAAAGACAAAACAAAAGAAGTCTGTAAACCATGCTTTTTTCTAAAATCCGATCTGAAAATCAGTGCCTTTGAATTGTATTTTGCTTACATAAGTACACAAATTCAAATAAAAAATATACTCTCAAAATTATGACAATGAAAATGTCAACTCCAAAAAGACGACAAAACACTCGTTAGAACTTAAGAACAAAAAGATGCTAAGAGAGTCAGAAAATTAAGTACAAATTTTATTAAAACAAGGATGTAGTAGTTTGCATTTTTTGAAAACGTTTGTAATTTTTTAATTTAATTCTTCCAAAGAAGAAAAGAGTGCAGACAATACACATCAACGTGAAACTAATTACCACTCCTTTCAATAATTATGGCATGTTAAACTATTATAGTTGTTGATGAATTACTTAAAATCAACATTAAAATAAAAGTGAATAAGACAAAATGAAAGAAGTCTGGAAGCATAGCATGCGGTTTTCTACAATCCTTAAAACACATCCGATCTCAAAATATTTATTTCCAAAAAAATCTGGAAATAAATAAGTTCAAGTGAGAGACATTACTAAGGTGGGTCCAATAGCTCATTTGTTAAAAATGAGCTTCATGAAAGCTAACCAGTTAACCTGAGGGGTTAAAATCAAGTTCAATTTCACCGTAAAAATACATTTATCCGAATTACCCTCCAAACAAAAGGACCAAAGAAGTGAAAGTTCATCCCTGTCTGAAACGAAAGGCTTTATCTTCTGGAACGATTCTTCATTTGGGTGTAAAACTTCAGGGGTTTAAAAGCCATTACTGAACCTTCTGGTGAATTAAGGGCCCAATCAAAGAATAATGCCTCGATCTGAACATCTCATTACTGAGCAAATTACATCACCCTGAGCTGAAGACAGAGAGGCAGAGAAGAGGAATAGAGACTGAGGGGTAAGGAGCAGATGACATAACTGCAGAACAGAAGGCGATGAAAGAACAGAAACAACTAGAATTACTAAAAATGAAAGATTAAACTTTTGTTAAAGTGCTACACAATAAGTTGGGGAAGAAGGATAACACGAACAAACTCAGACATGCCACAATGATCTATACCAGGGTTCCTCAATTAGTTTTTGCAGAGGGCCGAATATATATATATATATATATATATATACATAATTGTTATTATTACAATTATTATATTATTGTTGCTTTTGTTAAAATAATCACAAGATGGTCAAAAGATGAATATTCAGTTTTTTCCCCAGTAGTCGGTTTTATTCAAACAATTATGAACATTTTTGCATTTAGATACAGAAGAACTTTACCTGTTGAATATTAAAAACAAATGAACAAACAAAAAATCGGGATCTCCATGTCTGCCATGCAAATCAACTGTTCCTGCTCATTTCCAGACTGGATCTCTTCTCTCCACTTTCCCTAATTGCAGATTCAATTATTAGATTTGTCAGTATTAATATTTTTATGCTTAGATTTTTTGGGGGGGATTGAACTGTAACACCGTGTGTCCCAACCAGACACGACGCAATAAAACGTATCTTTTCCATGTAGTTTTTGTCCTAACCACCCGCGACAGCGACACGTGACAATAAGCAGCATGGGATTCTATTTTAGGAACGGTTGTATTTTGTATTTTATTTGTATTACAACATACAAAATATGACAGTGATAATCTCAGGTAATGATTATGTGCTTTATGCAATGTTAAAAGTCTCTAATGTGAGTGTGAATATTATTTTGCGTTATCTTTATAGCCATAGTGAAAGCAACAATAGATATTTGACCTCAGATCTTGAAAATAAATTAAAGCTAACTTGTACGTTAAAACTGTGAACTCACTGCGAACCAACACGTGTATTCCATAATAAAGATATCAGTCACTCACTCAAAACTGTTCCGTCCATTCACATTTGAATCATCTATTTTCCGTGTCCACTTTTCTTTTCTACACACTCGCCATGTTTTTGCTATCACATTGTATCTACACTGGACGCGACAAAGCATTGCAAATCATTTGAACGTTGTGTCAGTACGTTATAAATAGAACGAGTCAGCAGTTTACTCTCGGGGATTTGTCGTGTCGCGCCGCTTCCAAGATAGCATTGTCGCGCCGCGCCGCTCGCGTCCGGTGTAGACACGATGCAAGTTAATGTAGCTTTCTGATGCTGCGTTTGAATTTTCATGTCACATTATTTGAAAATTTTTCTCTCACGGGCCGGATGTGGCCCGTGGGTCACCTATTGAGGAACCCTGATCTATACTCTTGTACAAAGTCAAATATTTTTTGAAAGCATTTTAATTAAACCTTAATTTAGTAAAAAAAAATATATATTTAACTAATACATTTTAAAATTGCTCTTGTGATCAAGGACTGCAAAATTTAATTACTACTGGTATCGACAACTGAAATGCTGGTATTTTGACAACCCCAATAGTACGGCTATAAAGTCTACACATACATCTCTGTAACCTTCAAGATGAATGTAATACAGCTTGAATCATGAATGAATCATCTTCAACAATAAGAAAAAGACATGAAAACCATTAAAGGTTAGTCCTTGGGCAAAAAACAAACCCTCTTCAAACTGACAAGTGTTGAGTGGGTGGGTATTATTAACTGTCTAAAGTCGCTTATTTTTACTGTGACACTTGAAGCGTCATAGATAATGGATAGAAGAAGAGGCCTATAAATATTAGAGCCAAAGTCTAAGCACATTAAGAAGACTGAGTGATTGAGAGAGCAGGACGAAATGAGTGACGCAGCTCTTGAATTCCAGACTTTTCAGTTTGTTTTGGGCTGGCACCAGTGTTGAGGTCTAATGGAGCATGTCTGACTGCATTTCAGCCCACTGATCGCATCATTGAGTCAGGAAGTGAAAAGGAAGGATAAATGGATGGGAGGCCACTGATAAATATAGCAGCGCCACAAAAACGACAGAAAAGTGACGTGGCCTTACATTTTCACATTACGTCACTGACTAAAATGGTTAAATGTTACCTGTAACAGCCCAAACCAATACCTTTAGTGGGACAGTAGTGCAGGAATTTTCAGGTATTTGCCAACATGAGAAAACCTAAACTATGTTGTATAGGCCTATAATTTTTTATATTTTGTTCACATATTGCATATATGAAGTCATTTTGGCACTGATTTCAGGCTTATTCAGTTGTATGAATAATACAAATGATGAATCTTGTATTTTGATAGGTTTTCATCAAGTTTCTAATAAAAAAATTAATCGGATGTGATGAATTTAATTTACTGGATTATCCAAAAAATGCATTCAATTTAAATTCAAAGAATAGTTACAGTGTTCTATTGCAACACAGGACAGGAAGTTATTTTATATTGCAAAATTTTTTTTTTACAGATTTTATCCCCACCCCTAGAATATAAATATAGTATACCAATACACAACCACATACCTAAACAACATAAAAATTTAAACACTAGGACTTATAGTCTGAGTTTTCTCTAAGTGCCTCTACATTATTTATTGACTAACAGAAATAAATAAAAACACCACGGTGCTATTATTAAACTAATATCTTTAAAAGCATATTAAAAACTGGCAATCCCTAGCATGCCCAGAGTAATTTTCTACAGTACATGTGCCACCACTGGGTAAAACCATATTAAACGTGAAGAGCCATCAAAGCTCCTTGTTGAACTACAAGGACCAGGATTTACTTCAAGTCTACATTTATCAGGATAATTATTTATTTTTTTCCTTCCACCTATAAGTGAAAACACCAAGTTGATGGAAGGAAAGGGAATAACAAGACTTACTGACTAAAGGAAAATTATAGCAAAAGTTATTTGAAGAGGACTTCAATATGGTCTCAAGTGCCGATTAAGAAGAAACACATATTCCTGAGTTACTGTGGAAACCAGATGCAACAAGTGTGGCTGTGCATTCATAAAAACAAATCTAGTCTCAAACTAAGCCTATTGCACATTCATTTTCAGTACTGCGTCCCAAAATGCCTTATACCAAGGATAATTTGCCAGTTAACAATAAGACCAGCAATAAACCCATGTTGGTTTAAGGAACAGAGGGAGTTTGAAAAAAAGCATAGTTTTGTGAAGAAATCATATTCAATTTAAACGCCATACTGTTTTTATTTCAAGAATTACAAAAAGAATACCAAAATTACCTCACCTACATGTAAAAATGGATCAGCTTTTATGATAATATAAACCCAAGTCATTTATTTATTACTCAAGTCCCTGGAATACTTGAATCTGATTGGTCAATCATTGCATTCAAATGTCAAATATTTATGAAGAATGACCACTAAGCTGGAGAAATTGATCTCATGCTGACGTTCAAGTCTTGTAACACTCCACATAGAAAATGTTACAATAAAAAAAGTTAAAAACTTACAATAGCTGACTTGCTAGTATGCACTTTTTGCTAGCTAAAAGCATGCCTAATTATGAGGTAAATCATAGCATGTCCTTCAGTCTGTATCATGCAGGTCAGATTATTAACCATCAGGCTATCATCAACCACCACTGAGGCCATTAGCCAAGCTTAAAGGTGAAATGTGCAATTCTTTCCAATGTTAAAATACCCTCTATCACAGTTTAAAGGGGTCATATGATGCTGCTAAAAAGAACATTATTTGGTGTATTTGGTGTAATGAAATGTGTTTATGCGGTTTAAGGTTAAAAAAACACATTATTTTCCACATACTGTACATTATTGTTTCTCCTCTATGCCCCGCCTTTCTGAAACACATCGATTTTTACAAAGCTCATCGGTCTAAAAACACTATATTCTATGTATAATCGTTTTCTTAAATTCATTTTAAACTTCTTAAATCAATTGTTTTAATCATTTTCAATGTTTTTAAATTCCTTGTTTTATTGTTGTGATTATTTTTTTTTCTTTTCTTTTATGTAAAGCACTTTGAATTACCATTGTGTATGAAATGTGCTATACAAATAAACTTGCCTTGCCTTGCCTAAATCAGAATTGTGGATTATTTCCCAATACTGTGATCAATATTATTTGTGATGGACAAAACTGAGAACCACAATTGTGTTGCATAATTACTTCATTAAACCATGATAGTGAACTTTACACTGGCCTGCTTAAAGAGCTAGTTCACCCAAAAATGAAAATCTTGTCATCATTTACTCACCCTCATGATGCTCCAAACAAAATTTCTTTCTTCTACTGAACACAAAAGAAGGATGGTAATCAAACAGTTGACGGTATCCACAGACTTCCATAGGATTTTTTTTCCCCATACTATGGAAGTCGATGGCTACCAGCAGCTGTTTGGTTACCAACACTGTTCTGTTGAACACAAAATAATATTTTGAATAAAGAAATTTGGAACAACACGGGTTTGGAGCAACATGAGTAAATCATGACACTTTTCATTTTTGAGTGAACTATTCCTTTAACAGCATGAGTAACAAAACAGCATGACAATAAGAGAATACTTGTATCCCAAAATACAGTAATCGCTGAAGCGGTCACAACAAGTTTACTGGTTCATGTAACAGTTCAGCGTGAGCTCAATGACCGTCTGCGTACAGGGTTATGGACTCCAGCAAATACTCCTTTTATAAGCAATGAAGCTGTTAAACAGCACAGGCAAACTGTCAAAGCACCTGAAACAACAACCCACGATCCTTAACAGGCTCTCAGAAATTCCTATGAATTGGTCACAGAGCACTTCATAGGAATTTCTCAACAGAGAGATGGTCACAGAGCACTTATCCAGTTAATTGTGGATTCTTTTTACTATTAATCTTCATATTGTTTTAATTAATACTGTTGCACTCCTACTGTAAACATGTTTTAGGTACTAGAATCTTGCACAAAATGAAAGTATCACCTGGAGGTTATGCCTCTCTAGTCTCATCTCCAGAATGTTGTTTTGCTCTTCCAGCTGCTGACGTTCTGCCTCCAATTCCTCGATCTTCTGCCTGAGAAAAACAAACACATACACCTATACATATACAATGTCATTTCTAGTCCAAGCATAATGAAAACCATTGTCAAAAATGTTAATCTCAAAAATACTCAACATCTGTTTTTCAGAAAAGCATGGAGGAACACGGCCATAACAACAATAATAATGTTCCACCATGAAGAGGTAAATAAAGGTAAACACAACAGGTTCTTCTGAAGTTTGATCGCAGAGTAAACACACTGACAATTTGGGATTCAAAATCAAATTACTTAATAGTACATAAATAGTCGTTAATTAAAAACTTGTTAATTTAGAATTTTCTGGTGTTAAATTAAATACTTAAAATTTAAGAGCATTCCATTGTTGTAATCAAATAAATGTGTGACAAATCATGAGCAAAAGGACATATCAAATACTATGAAATTCAGAAATTAGTTAATATTCAATATCAATGTTCACATTTTAACTCAAATTGATATGCCTGTAAAATAACTTGTAATTAAAAAAAGAAAAGTAAAAAAGAAGGATTTTCACTAGTGGTCTTGGATATTTAGTAAGACCTTTTTGAACTCTTACTCTTGAATAATCTGTATAATTTCTCAGAAAGTAATTTGGTAAGCATTCAGGTTGGTTTAGTTTTGGTTTTGAAGATTACCATGTGGGGTCTTGGACTTGTATTGAGTACAACAAATATCCAATTAAGGTGTAAACAGCTTAGTGAAATGGTTCCAGGAGTGATTAAATGAAATTCTATAGAGAATAATTACAGGATCAAAAAGAAAGAGGAAAAAGGAGAAAGTAGGCACTGAATGAAAGCTCACTTTTCAAGCAAGGCCACAAAAGCTAATGTAGTATAATCACATTTCCATAGTAATTAGGCAATGCAACAGGCCATGAAAAAAAAAACCCCACAGACTTCAGTTTCTCTCAGTCTAAACACCAGCGACTTAAAGTGACATGAACATTTCAATAAGAGCTGGCTATTTTCAGCGACATGAGTGGTAGCGACTGTTGGTTATCTATGGAAGCCTCAAACACAAAATCACACAATGAATCACCAATGTGACTTCATTACTTTTATTTTATTTATTAATTTTACTCAGAAACAGGCTTCCATAATAATCAGATCAGACATGTATGACGCAAGTATGAAATTTCATTTCTCACATATCTCTGTTACCTGAGAGAGCTGACTTCCTCTGCTGTTGCTAAGGTGTTTTTCTCTGCATTAGACACCTGCTGCTCTTTCAGTGCCTCAAGTTCAGTCGTCACCTGAGCAAGTGATTAAAAAAAAATAATAAAGTCAAAATGATTGGTACTGTATGCCAAAAACAGTAATTTACTGTAAATCCCAGCAAATGAAAAACCTGCAGCCTAGCGGCAATGTTATTTCTGTATTTCTGTCTAATATCTTGATTTCTGCCTTATGTGGTTTTCCATTTCTTGCATGCATTATAGCACAAATTTTAATCAATTATTTATGATCAGAACGGTAGCTGACATGATTGTATAAATGCCAAAAGGAAGTTCCCATTGTGATGAATGTGACTTACCATCTGAGCTTGTAATTTGAAGCTGCCTGCCTCCTCCTGGGCTTTAGACAGTTGAGTCTATCAGAGTGAAACAGATTATTCTCATAAAAACAAGAGCCTAGATACTAAACCATAAAGTCCTTGATTACAAAGTCATGAGTGCCATCAATGTCAAGGAAGTTATCCGGATGCAACTTCCAGACAGGCCAGTCTGCATGAGCAGAGGTCTAGAATTTTTATAACACCAGCACACTGTTTTTTATAACATAGTATAACTTGAATTTAATTGAACCACACATTTTATAACTTGAAATCAACCATATAGCCAATATTAACACCTAATACATGTTTTTAGTCTTATAACATACTGCTTGTTATAAGACTAAAAAGATACATCTTTCTGCTGATGTATCCAAGGAAAAAAACTATATATTAGCCAATAGAGCAGGCGATATAGCTAAAAAATATTTAACAATACTTATCATCATTTTGTCCATCGTGGCCAAGCACCTTACATTTAAAAGGTTTACTGTAATAAGCAAATCAAGGCATGTTTTCCACATTGTTTTGCACTAAATGGACAGAAGATTTATATTTATCCCTCCCAATATCAATGCAGAGTCAATGCAATCCAAAGTTACAGCATTAACATATGCGATTAATTCAATTATTTATAAGTCAAACCCAGACAGGAAACAATAAAAAAAAAAATCAAGACATTTGCATTCTTACTGTGAAGGAATGCAATTATAATTAAAGCTTAAAAAGTGAATTGTCACCCATTAGAGAAACTATTCTGTCATTCACAGAAATACAAACACCAGGCCAGAAGCAACAATCAAATGAGCTACAGAAATATGTATGATTAAAAAAGGCGTTTAATAACTGAATTATTTGAGATTTATTGTTCCATGTTTGAATGTAATGCATTATGATACAGCTCGAGGAACACACATTTTTTTTTAATGAGATGAGTAAAGAGTGGTGTTGCCTAAATTTATGCCATGAGAATCATCCACACAAATTGCTGAACTGAATAAAATTCACACCTAAAGGCCTATTATATCCTTAAAATAAATAAATAGGTTATTGAAAAAAATGAAATGAAAAAAAAAAAAATCACTCAAATCAAATCAAACAAATCACTGAATCAGTGGTCTGAACAGTTTTTTGAAAGGTACATTTGAATGAATGATTTGTTGTGCATTATGGGTAATGTAGTTCTCACCTCCATCTCTGTATTGTGTGTCTGGACTTTCTGCAGCATGTCCTCTGCCTCCTTGACCCGGAGCATGAGCTGAGGAGAGTATTCACTTGTGGCCAGCTCGCTGTCATACGACTCTAATATGGCCCTCATTCCATCGCGCTCCTGACCCACATACAAAAGCACAAGTTTCAATTTCAGAACTCAATTCAGGCCAAGCTGGGTCAGTACAATATAAAGATATCATGCATATAAAACTAGCTGAAACCATAAATGGACGATGCTGATCTTCATTGTCGGGTGAGCGAGTAAAAAAACCCAGTTTCCAAATGAAAGAATCTGCTTACTGTCTTAATGCACATTTAATTACAACAGCTTGATTGTGTTTCACTTATTACTGAACTTAATTCACATGCTTTACCGGTCAACCTAATCGATGTATTACATTTTAATTGGCAGACTTCAGTTGTAAAGTCATTGTAACGTTCTAAATACAAGAGGAGAGACGCAAGAAATATTAGAGGAGAATTAATGGGGTGAGCTCCCTTCTGAGTCAGAGTCATCCGTGTAAATATCTAATTTTAGAGTCGATTAAACCAAAATTAAATCTAGTCTAGTCTCTAAAGTCGAAACCAGCAGGATCAATAAAACATTGTGATTCATTATCCGGAGTGTGAACTGAGAATACAAAAACGACCAACAGATTAAAAACAAGCTGACAGGCACATGCTCATATATGCACCCAAACAACAAAGGTTGCTAACGTTAATGCTGAATAACCTTCACTAAAAGACTTTTAATAACATTTTAAAGAAAAAGCTAATGATGTATTTGTGGAGCTTTAGTTAAATTAATCTGATGTAAAAATCAATGTGACTGACGTCAAAGCGTCCATGCAGATATAGCAGTAAATTTGTGAATGTCACACTTCTTCCAAAAAAAAAAAAAAACTTTTTTTTTGTGCACCGTGAAATTTTCATGGCATATAAAAAAAAAAATTATACAACACTTCTCCTCTAGTGTCTCAATGTAATGGATGGACATTAAGATTTTGTAATTTGTTATTTCCAAAGGTAATTCTGCAATGCAATATTTTTAAATGTATGAACATTTCTTTTAACCATTTAAATCATAAAATATAAACAAAGTATTTAAACAAATTATTGTGCATTGTTGTAATACAGTAAATGTCTCTTCTCCCTATTATTTTTGGAATGAAATTAGGGGTGTAACGATTCATTCGTTTTCTCGATGCACCGATTACAAACCCTGACGATGCATATGCATCGATCTTGAAACATGGATTTTTGAATCGTGAATCGTTGATTTCGTCCAGTAATTGATTTAAAACGCTAAGAATCGAATGAATCGCGATTTCTATAGCGATTCAATGCTTTAAAATATACACATTAAATTACTACAAGCACGAATTAATGGAGACCTTGAACAGCGTTGTTCGTGCCTCACATCTCTCCTTCACACGCTCCATTCTTTACCTCCTGTCACAGGATTGCGCTCGCGCTCCATTCGCAGCTCTCTCAGACACATTTTTTAACCAACCAATGTGTGATCTCTCCTTAGTACTCATGGCCAGTACTGCTAGAGTAAAGTAGCTTTACTTAGTCAAGTAGTTTAACTCTTCTGTAGTTTTTCAGTGGCTCTCAGTCATACCATTGACATTACCTGTGCGCATTTGGACGGAGCAAAGACAATGTAAGTGTCTAAAAGCATACGCACAGTTCCATTGAATGATAAATGACTTTTAACTTAATGTCGTTAAACTGAATGTACGAAGGAAACTGTTAAAATAACCACAGCATTGAAATAAGAGCGCAAGGTTTATCTGTCAATCATATGCATAAAAGATGCGTTCGTCATTAAAGCAAACAGACATCGGGCGCGTTTTCTTTCAGAATTCAGCATTCGCCGATAGAAAGGAAAAGTTAAATACGGTTGCATTTTATTTTATGAAAATAAGATAAAGCTCACATCATGCAAAGGTGTGACATGTTACCCTACATTGACAGTATGCTAAACAATAGTTAACACAAAGTAATACTTTTAAAGCCTTTAAAAAAAAAAATATCTTGGCTTACATACCCTAGTGAAAAATAAATATACTTTCATTCTAAGTATACTACAAAATATACCCTGCAATTGAACTTTTAGGCCCAGTTTCACAGATGGGGCTTAGCCTAAGCCAGGACTAGGCCTTAGTTAAATTAAGATATTTAAGCAGCTTTTATAAAAATGCCTTAGAGAAAAAAAATGTTTCAGGTGTGCATCTTGAGACAGAACAGTGGCAATGACATATTGTAAGATATGTAAGAGCAAGATATTTTTAGTCTGGGACTATAGCCTTAAGCTTTGTCTGTGAAACCAGGGGTAGGTATACTAAACTGGTATACTTAAAGTCTGCTAAATTGGAACAACTACTTAATGCTTAATGCACTTTAATTGTGTGGAAGTAGTGCTGAAGTCCAACTAAAGACATACTAAAGTATATTTGATTGTGTTAAAGTGGAACTATTGCAAGTATACTTCAGGGACACTTTAATATCTTGCATTTAAAGACCTTTATTATTCAAAGATCATACAATCCTCATTAATTGTGACATTAAAACACCTTTTAGGCTTTATATTAAGAAATGTGCATTGTGCACAAGTAGTACTCCAAATAAAGTTTAATTAGAATTTTTATATCAGTAAGTCTCGAGCAATATGTCAGTAAATATATTAATAGATTTTAACTATACTTTGTTTGAAATTAATGTATTTAAAGGGGTCATATGATGTTGCTAAAAAAAACATTATTTTGTGTATTTGGTGTAATGAAGTGTGTTTATGCGGTTTAAGGTTCAAAAAACACATTATTTTCCACATAATGTACATTATTGTTGCTCCTCTATGCTCCGCCTTTCTGAAACGCGTCGATTTTTACAAAGCTAATCGTTCTGAAAAGCGAGGTGTGCTCTGATTGGCCAGCTATCCAGTACGTTGTGATTGGCCGAATACCTCAAGCATGTGACGGAAATGTTACGCCCCTTACCATACTGTGATGCCATGT